TTATATATATCTTTGAGCTGACTTGTTCATAAAATGGTTAAACAGCAAAACCATAGCAGCCTTAAAATACTGTATAATCTCAAATGATAAAATATATTTTCCATAAGTTCTGTCATGAAATCAAACCGAGACTGCAACATTTTCAATTTTCCCGTTTTTTGACGTTCTTTAAGGATTCTTGTTTTCTCTATTCTTTCTTTTTAAAACGACGTTAATGTAAACCTTTAATAATGATAGCTCGTGTACGATTCTGTTTATAACAAAATTTGTGTAAGTCTAAGAACGTCGAAAAACTGCAAATTCGGTCATTTTTGTGTTAAACGCGTGTTTTTTTTTGAAAAAAAAATGCTTTTAAAAATGGTTATGAAACACTGAAATGACGTCATGTGATAAAATAAATACGCTTAATTTAAAATATCACTAAACCCATGAATAAATGATGTTCTTCTGCTCTACAAAAGATAAATCAAATGCATGATGCATTAGAGACGCTCGAGAGCAAATGATAAATATACCACGTGAAACATTCTGTAGGCTGTAACGTTATCACAATCTAACGAGCAAATGCCTAGGAGATTCCACGTGTTATCCAGCATTCTATGAGCATTCTCAGGTGAGTTTGGAGCCAACGAAACAGTATTTACTCAGTGAGTTAGTGACATTAATGTTGCATGTACATTGCGACCTGTTACATGTACCTATTGACTAAAATTGTTGCATGACACAGCTGTTTTCCTCTAAGTCTTTACCATATCATAGCATGCAATTCTGACCCTCATTTTTGGCTTTGTTTGTAATTATTTTACATAACGGCTGCTATTCTAATAAGGGATTTGCTCAAGTTTTTTCTATCTGTGGGTAGTATAGGCGAGTTAGAGGTCAAAATTGTGTAGGAATTTTGAGCATATTTCAACCAAAGAAAAAAATGACCTCAAAATCGCCTATACTTCCCTCAATTAGGGAAATCTTGAGCAAATCCCTAATTATAATATCAGTCGTTACACGTAATACAACGTTAAGAGATGAATACAAAAGAAGCAGGGTAAATAGTCCAAAGGACCTGCTTTTGATAGGTTGGGGTGCAGGATCTCCATAAAATATCTATATTTACTATGTAGGTTAGAGATTACCTCCTTTCTTTTGTTGAAAACGCTCAATCATAACCTCAATTCTGTTCTAATTTATGTACATCGGGAGATTGTTGAAATGTAAAATATGTAAGTAATTTGAAAAAGGTCTATGTCTGAGTAGTAGCCGAATTCTTTCATCACTTTATTACCATATATGGAGAATCTTCATCAATCATTTCGCGAGGCTCAGACACATTATTTCCCCCCTGACGGTCAGACATATCTAAATTGGTTTTACATCTAGTAAATAACACTTATTTGATATATGATCTTGCTACAAAATTGTAGCAGACTGACACGTTACCACAAAAATCAGTGGTACAGAAATGTGCTACAGTGATGGTTTCAATTTCGATTGAGTGTTTTTAAAATAACCATTGTTTGTGATAAGCAAGAGCATTTTGTTATTAAGACAAACAACAATTACAGAACATATCAATTTTCTGAATTCATACTGACAATGTTAATACTATAATAAGATTGATATAACATTGCGGAAATCTCGGATTCCTCTACAGACTCAAGCGGGCACCTGAGCATCCTTTCCGGTAAATACTTCAAAGCTAACACATCGCTCCCATGAAAAAATACTTACAAGTGAAATGCAGTGGTTAATACAGTTTAACTGTATAAAAGTATCGTCATGTCTTGAGTAGTTTTTATGCTTATTACGATTTTAGTAAATTTCATACCGAAAAATTTTGCCGATTTATCTTTGATGGAAACTTATGCAAAATTGAGATGTTAAAGATGTGTTGATATTTTAACATGATTGAGTACTTTGCAGATACAGTGATATTTTATCTTAGAATAGAAAGCTGTTTGTGCTTTTGTAATAAGATATAATCTCTAGCACATCATATCAGTGACATATATTTTTGTAAAACATAGTTTTAGTATCAGAGAGGACATCGATGCATTTTACAATACCGGCATTACCTCCACTGATGGCATGTTCGGTTCTAAGTTTAAATAAATCTCTCTCTCATGTAAGCTGATAAAAAACTTTTTTGGTAAAGTTGCTTTAATAATAATAATGTTTCTTCAAACTTATTCAAAATGCGTCGACAATTTCCCCAAAATCCTCTTTTTGTTATGTTTGTTTACATTTTTTGTCAATCATATATTACTGACTCAAAAATGGCTATCATTTTTGTCAGGGCAGTTAAAAATTTTAAAAAATCGGGATCTGTCTATTATGGTGGCATATTTCTGCCACCAGATAACCTGATAATTAACTAGTTAATTAAGAGGTTAACTAGTTACGTAACTAGTTAATCTGATAATTAACTAGTTAATTATCAGGTTAACTAGTTACGTAACTAGTTAATTTTTTCAATAAAGAAAAGATCATAACGGGAAAAAAATGCATGTTAGTGCCTGCAAACTGCCATCCCTTATTGTCAGCTTAATATTAAGAGGTTAACTAGTTACGTAACTAGTTAACCTGATAATTAACTAGTTAATTAATAGGTTAACTAGTTAAATAAATACTTAACTAGTTAACCTCTTAATTAACTAGTTAATTATCAGGTTAACTAGTTACGAAAATACCTAACTAGTTAACCTAATACTTAACTAGTTAATAATCAGGTTAACTAGTTACGTAACTAGTTAACCTAATAAATAACTAGTTAGTTAAGAGGTTAACTAGTTACGTAAAAACGTAACTAGTTAACCTCTTAATTAACTAGTTATTTATCAGGTTAACTAGTTAGGTATTTGCGTAACTAGTTAACCTCTTAACTAACTAGTTATTTATCAGGTTAACTAGTTACGTTTTTATGTAACTAGTTAACCTCTTAATTAACTAGTTAGTTAAGTGATTAACTAGTTACGTTTTTACATAACTAGTTAACCTCTTAATTAACTAGTTAAATAAGAGGTGAACTAGTTACGTATTTACGTAACTAGTTAAGCTCTTAATTTACTTGTTAGTTAATAGGTTAACTAGTTACGTAAATACGTAACTAGTTAACCTCTTAATTAACTAGTTAGTTAAGTGATTAACTAGTTACGTATTTACGTAACTAGTTAACCTATTAACTTACTAGTTAATTAAGAAGTTAACTAGTTACGTAACTAGTTAACCTCTTAATTAACTAGTTATTTATCAGGTTAACTAGTTAGGTATTTGCGTAACTAGTTAACCTCTTAACTAACTAGTTATTTATCAGGTTAACTAGTTACGTTTTTATGTAACTAGTTAACCTCTTAATTTTAAGATGATGATATAATAAAAGGATGGCAGTTGCAGGCACTAACATGCATTTATTTCCCGTTATGATCTTTTCTTTATTGAAAAAATTAACTAGTTACGTAACTAGTTAACCTCTTAATTAACTAGTTAATTATCAGGTTAACTAGTAACGTAACTAGTTAACCTTTTAATTAACTAGTTTGTTATCAGGTTATCTGGTGGCAGAAATATGCCACCATAGTCTATCCACGTTATCATAATTAAGATGTTTCTGTACAAATATGTATTAAATAGATACATTGACATCATGTCTTAATATGGAAAGTTTTTTGCATTGCAGTAAAATATATCTATTTTTGCGTTGCAGTAAAATATATCTATTTTTGCGTTGCAGTAAAATATATCTACATCCAATCAAACCAGAAGCATACAATTGCATCAAACATAACCATAGCACCAGAGAACATAAACTATCTACATAACTTATGACGGAATAAAAGTCTCCGTCCATATCAACTTAAGTCAGTCAATTATAAAAAGATCTGTCAAACATATCGTGCAGTGGCCATATTGTTTCTTATATTGATTTAATTTGCATCATGATGAAACGTAAGACGTACAATGCATTTCTAAGAAGTACAGGAAGAAAAAAAAGCTATTGATCGCGAGAATTCCGTGCAGTTTGCAATCCTAGCTATATCATTTATGACTGTAATGTTAGAGGGTCACCAGATGAGACTTTATCAGTTCGTAATGGAAATACAATCCTAGATTTGTTTTCAAAATGAATTTCTAGGGGAACGCTGGCATTTAAAAGCATATTTCATCAGTGCTAGGTCATCGATAGCAATCGAGTACCAGTGCCCTGTTGAAACATTGTTGATCGCTTTTACTGATGAATTGCAATTTTCCCTTAAAGAAAATTAAATAAGACAATTACTACCACTTTTGAAAACTCTAACTTATTATTACGCATCTCTTTCTATTTATTTAGAGTAGTAATTTGTAAACATATCTATAGTTTAACCACGTTAAATAAGTGGTGGTAAATTGTAGAAAGGGACATGATGAAAATTCTTCGAAGAAAAATAGAACCAAGTAATAAAAAAGTAGTTCGGTAACGGACTTTGACAAAATAAAAATAGTCTGAAAGCGGAACAGGAAATCGTTTAAAGAAACAAAAGGCAGTTTGAGTCTTCTGAAAGTAAGACTGAAATAGAAAATCATCTAAATGTGGAATCAAATGTAATGAAACGGTGAAATAGGAAGTGAAATGAAATGAACAATACCCAAATGATGAAACAGAAAGTAAAATTGAAATGAAGAAAATCAATGATGAAATAGAAAGTTAAATCAAGATGAAACAAAAAGTAGTTGCTGTCCATTCATGACATAGAAAGTGAAATAAAATGAAACAAAAAGCAGTCTATTGACAAAATAGAAAGAGTAATATCATTTCATCTTTATGCTAAAAAAAAAACAAACAAAAAATTAGACTGAAAATAAAACAGACAAATGAAATATAAATGTTATTCTTAGATTATCACCAACAAAGTGATGTTTGCAACATTTACCCCCACCCCCATAGTCATGAAAAGTTATAAGATAACCTTGTAAATAGTACTCTCAAAAGTAACCAGGGTAAGAATTAAAGACATTGACTCTCTTACTTGTCTTTTATACTGATAGCAAGTTGGTTAGGGAAGTAGGAGGAGGACTTGACGACCGTCCGTCTGTGCGAGCCATCCAGCCACGCCCTTTCAATACGATGGTTTCTCTGGTCAGCCCAAAATATATACCTGAAATATAGATGTACAATTTACATAAGCTTACATCATGATGAAAAGAAAAAAGAGAAACGTGACTGAACATTGTGAACAGTAGCCCTTAGTATCTCTTAAACAGAAGCCCTTTAGACTGTAATCTTTAGGCAGTAACCTTAACACGGTAACATATAGTCTAAAGATCGAAGCATACCAAAATTAACTGTCCGATCATTGTCTGCACTCAATAAGTATTTTGATGTTTTCTCTAAAACTGATGAGATTAAATGATATGAAAGGTCCATTTTTAAGTAAGGGTTTATTTTGAAAATCATGCATAACAATGACTTAGTCACCAATAAGACGGAGAAAACAACAGCTAACATGAAAAGAAATACTAAGGGAATAAAAGTGAAAAATTTAGATTTTCAATGTGTCAATATCAATGGATATGTCTGTTTTCACATATTCAACATGTTCAATGTGATTAAATTTTCAGAAAACAAATATTTCGTTTTGTAAAGTCAATTATTTTCCACGTTCTTACGTGTTAAAATCTATTGTTCGCCATCCAGAAATAGTAATGGCGTCTAAAGCTATGCATATTTAAAGAGAAAGTCTACTGGGCGTTAGTTTTTAGGTTTTGGAATTCTCAACTGGTAAATCAATGATTAGTCACGCGCAAAAATCAATACACTGATTGATTGTACTGTGGTAATATTAAAAAGGTATGATCGTCACGGAGGAGTTCTTCAATTGTATTTTAATCAGTCTGTTAAAACAGCGATCAAATTTTCCTAAATTGTTAATTGGTTCACACATTTGCACAATGTTGTATACAATGTACTAATAATGGATAATTTAAAACATTATACCAGAAAAAGAATGAATCGCAGCATAACAATAAAGCAAGCCACTATTCCAGAAATGTTTTGCAAAGAGAATATTTTATCATTTATCATCGTCGCTGTGCCATGGGGTCGAATCCCGTCCAGTGACGGTGAAATTTTACATAAGAGAAAGCTATTCAGCTAGTTAGGATGGTAGATGGTTCTAGGCAATGAATACCCGAGGCTTTCCTCCATCAGTTATACTAAAGAAAGTCACCATAGAAACTCCAGTCTTCGTGTGACAAAACAAATAAACAAACAATACGTTTGTAGGCAGTGAAAGCAACAATGACTTCAAATTTACTTCACTGGTTTTATAACAAGTTTCATAATTGATGAAATAAATAAAAGGATTGCCCATCTGTAAACATATGTTGATGGCTTCAGTGATAATTTCCGACACGCGTGCATGGTTCTGATGTGATAACATGTGGGCTGTATGGAAATTACGCATGATAATGGTCTTCTAGAATTAATCGCACGTGCGCCCCGAATGACACAGAGGCGTTGGCGGTGAAATCAGTAGGGAATTATACCACATTTAAATTAAATGTTCGACCGCTGTTTTAACGTTCATTATTAATTCGCTCTTGAATATTTATAAATGCCGTTTTGAAGACCAATATAATCGAACAAATTAGTATTAAAGTAACATGTATATTACTTTAAGTTCATGTAAAATGTACATGACATTTTATGCATTTTCGAGAAATAAATATTTTTACTGTAAAATAGTTTCATTACATTTTTTGTTAATTTTACATATAAAGTATTATATGTACCCATAGATTGGTGACGCAACTATTGCCCGTGGCGACTTCAGGTCGGATGACACAATGACCCTTCTGGATGACCCGTCATAGTTTGCTACCTCGACTGTCTTCCGTTCCAAGTCCGTCCAGTATATATGACGTGACACCCAGTCAACTGTAAGACCATTTACTTCTCCAACATCTACAATATAAGTCACATGATGTATGAGATAATAGCAATGTCAGTCATTAATGTATGAGATAAAAGCTAGGAGCAATGTAAAGCAAGTAATGTATGAGGTAATAGCTATGATGATACAGCTTCAGCAATGTAAAGCAAGTAATGTATGAGATAATAGCTATATGAAATAACAGCTTTAGCCATGTATATCACGTGATATATGAGATAATAGCTATGATAATACAGCTTCAGCAATGCAAATCACGTGATGTATGAGATAATAGCTATGATAATACAGCTTCAGCAATGCAAATCACGTGATGTATGAGATAATAGCTATGATAATACAGCTTCAGCAATGTATATCACGTAATATATGAGATAATAGCTATGATAATACAGCTTCAGCAATGCAAATCACGTGATGTATGAGATAATAGCTATGATAATACTATTTCAGCAATGCATATCGCGTAAAAACTGAAAAAATATATTATATTATACTATAATTATGATAATTTTACTTCAGCTATAAAAAAAATCAAGTGATGTATGAGATAATAGCTACATATGACTACATCTGCAATGATAACAACGTGATTATGCATGTTAAAGGTACAGATGTTAAGTACAATACGAAAAGTATGTATGTACAAATGCATTCTATTTTTCTCTTCAATCGATGCCACTACAAATATAAGCAGTAGCAGCATCTGTAGAAACATTAACAAATAAACAACAAGATCATATTGTAGATTAACAAATATAGTACAATGCGGAGTAGGAACAACATAATTTACTGGTGCATACGTCAGTAGATTCCCGTTAATCCCCACCTCTTCGTCTGAATATCAACAGATTATTCTCCTTTTATATGGTTTCTTGTTTTTTGATTTTTTGTTTTTTTTTGTAAATAAATTTTGAACTGTGACGAGAATTATGTTCTTTTTATAATACATAGCTTTTATTCTAAACAGCTTTTACCTAAAACTGTTACTGAACATAACGTTCTTGTTATGACGTGTTTGTTTGTTTCTTTTTCTTTTTTATTTCATTTATACTGGCGGTAAGAAAGATTTGAGGTGCCTCAATGTGTATTATATCAAGGATTTAGTGTAATATTAAATATACTGCATAAAAGGTCTATTACCAAGAGCTTTGTTTTTTTTTTCAAATGTCAAGGAACTGTTATTATTGACAAATAAGTATCCGTGGTTTACGTGATGTTGTTATGGTAACATTAGGAAAATAAATATCAGATTTAGACTAATTTTAAATGAAATATCGTCTCATAAAAGTTGATGTCTTAATGCAAAAGGAATTCAACTGAGGTCCAAAGGCCTTAAAAAGTAAATTTGCAAATCTTACATATACAAGTATCAATGAATAGGTGTGCTTAAAATGGGAAATATAAGGATAATCGTGGCTCCCAAAAATGTTCCCCAGGATAACCGTTAATATTTGAAAACAAAGTGTGAAATATACTTCCCATAAATTAATAATGCATATACAACGTTTAAGAAACATTCGTATTTTTGCAAAATTAAGATAATTCTGTGATATACAAAGAATGAAAAGTAGAAAAATCTTAAAACTCAAAATTGTCCAAGAAATTATATATTATATGGTCTATTTAAAGTTTCAAATCGGACTTAAAACGACGCAAACTGATACCCGGCTTAGTTTGCATATAAACCAATTCAATTAAATTAGCCTCCATATCAATACCAATAAGGCAATGGCATAATTTTAAAGTCTGCCCTTTATCAAAAGGGCGGACAACTCTTCGTCCCCTGCTCGTAAGAGAAGGGGAAACATGTGATGCGTTTATGTGGTCTCACGGTCACTTCCCAAAGAAGTCCTCGATGCATGTATGTGGTCGCATGGTCGAAAATCTCAAATAAAACGACGACGTTTTCAAAGTTGTTTTGGTACGGAACCGTATGGTGTAAAATCTTATTGTCCTATAAACACTATTGAAATCGTAATACAGGGTTTGCACAAAAAGCTTCTTTTTACACTTCATTAAAGTTAATAGGGATTTTCACTTTTTAAATTAAAAAATAAGCCTAATCCTAATTAGGATTTTCGGAATCGTTAAATAAACGTTTATTTACAATATTGTAAACTAAATAGGAATTTTACTCAATTATTAGGAGAAGATTTAAAACTAATAACAAAAACTTATAACAAGAACAACATTAATTATATTAGACGTTTCGACTTTTTACATGCATCGAGGACATTAGGACAATGCTTTTGTGTAAGTAACCTAAATTTGATTCTTTTTCAGTTTTTTTTTATATTTACATGTATTTTATTGTTTTATTTGTTTATCCTATTTTATATTGTTAACGTAAATTTTATACAATGTCTGCTTAATCTATCCTAGGCTTATCGTGTAACGTTTTCGCAAACACATTACTTCAAATCTCTGTATGGATCGGGATTGTTATTTTATAAATTTTTGCTCGACATTTCACATTTATCGCTTCTGCATCTTTCTGACAGGTGAACATCTGATACAAAATAAACTCTTCGTCTGCAACTTTATTATTGTATTGTGAGATGAAGATTTGTATTTTATTTAATTTGCCATAAATTGTTTAAAATTGCCGTGTAACATCTGGCATAACTGTAAATTTAAACACCGCGTACGAACACACATTATGCTGTCACAAAGAAGTTATTGGTGCAGCAATCCGATCGAGCGGCTTAACAGTACAGTCCAATTGTACTCCCAGAAGAGTTGAGTACGTGATTAAACTATTGATCGGTAATGATCGATCACTTTTTCCATTAACCGATATTCTAGTTTCTCTTTCTGTTTTGTTCCACAAGGTAACGTATCAATCAGCATATGACATCATTTCCGGAAAGGATTAGTTATTATTTTCTCTTAACATAACGCGTAACAGCAGTTTCGAATTTTCAATAGAGCATTATTTTATCAGTTAATAGATGTGTTGGTTTTCTTTTCATTATTTTAATCGAATTTTTAATATCATAAAAAATATCTTACTTTCGTCTGCAGACTAACCACCACGCGCCATCACCTTACATTACGTAAAATCATTCCGAAAAGAAAACTCTAAAGCTATGAGGGCATTCAAGTTCTTTTAAAATGTTTTTTTCCCTAGTTCCCCCTTTTTTTGTTGTTCTAGCATGTATTGTTTGATTGATTGAATTCTTTTCCAATAAAACTTCACTGGAATGCCTCCTGCACCGGTTTTTTTCTAATTTAACGAGATTTTGACGCAAGCTATTAAATTTTAAATACAGTTGTATATACATAATTTATATAATAAATTTGCTGTAACGTTGAGCAGGTCTCGTCTGCTCTTTTTATTCTCGGTAATAACGGCATCTTGTGTGTTTATCGGACAGATAAACCTTACTTCTATCAATAAATTACAGTAAAGAATAATCTAGATGACGTCTGTAAAGTCAAATGGTACGAAAAATGCTGTTTATCCGGCTATTTGCTTGTGTATCAGTTATGTTAGATACTTTATTTACGTTAACTGCTCATAGCAGATTTTTATTCCTATGCGTTTATTTGCAAAACTCCGCCATTTAAGAATCCAGCGGACACTTAAGTAGAACTATCGACGCTTCTTTACATAAATGAATTAACAATTCCTGACAGGGTTCGAACCCACAGTGGTGTGGGGAAAGTGGATCGAAGTTAGCGATCCAAACCACTCGGTAAATGTGATAAATTTCTGAGAGTATGGATTTCAATACTTGATTTCTTTATTTTTTAACTTCTTTTATGTAATGATATATTTACATATGTGTTTGGGAAGATATATTTATATACGTTTAGTCTACAAATAATATCAAGGATATTTATATCATACAATACTATGCCAGTTTACACTCTGTTAATAGGTAACGCGACAACAGATGATAATGATGATGATAATGATGATGATGAAGATGAAGATGATGATGATGATGATGATGATGATGATGATGAAAATGATGATGATAATGATGATGATGAAGATGAAGATGATGATGATGATGATGATGATGATGATGATGATGATGATGATGATGATGATGATGATGATGATGATGATGATGGTGGCGATGATGATGATGACGACGATGACGAATATGATGATGATGATGATGTTGTTTTTGATAATGATACTAATGATGATGATGGCAATGATGATGGAAATGAGGATGAGGATCAAAAGTCATCAAGCGTATAATTTCAATCAGATAAATAATTCACGTAAACCTCCCGCCATGTTATGCGTCATATTTTTTTCAGATGACACATAAACGAACAAAAGATTTGCCATTGTGAGAATTTATTCTCCATTAAAACAACGGAAATCTAATAAAGAATTAATAGCTCACACAAAATATGTGACATTCTATCTTGCAAGTCGAACTTTAATTGCTTTTTCAGATGTGCAAGCAGATTGCTTGTCGTTTGTTGCGAGGAAACGGTTAAATAACAGTGCAATGTATGGTGTTCTGTTAGGGTCATCGCTTATGAATAAAGAAATATGAAACCCGAAAAGACGAGAACATGAAGGGGTGAAGAAGAAACACAAGAGACGGAGACGAAAACACGTAAACACGTGGCACGAAAACACGAAAACGCGAAAGTACGATGACGAAACGCGAAGACACGATGACGAAAAAAAAAAAAAAAAAAAAAAAAAAAAGAAACCAAAAAAAAAAAAAAAAAAAACTCGACATATTCAAGTCGATAATAATTATTATCGCGTCTTTGTCCCTTCGTGTTTTCGCGTTTTCGTCTTCGTCCGGATCCCTTCGTGTTGTTGTCTTCGTCCCTTCGAGTTTTCGACTTTTTGCGTTTCAAATTTCGTCATAAATAGGCAATGACCCTAACGGAACACCGTAGCAATTTGATGCATTACCACATTTCTCGTCTTCATGAAAATATTTTTATTGAAAATCCGTCTCTTAACACAAGCTGGCTGGCAAATACTCTATAATTCTTAAAACTGTGTACTTCATTCTATCCCTGCATTAATAGAAACGGATTTTACTTCGTTAATTAGGCACAAAAACAAATAAAAATACTTCTCTTTTTCTTATACCCACGTTTTCTTTCTTAATTGAAAATTTTATCTTTTTTTAAAAACGTCGTCTTCTCTAATATTTCTCTATCAAACAATATTATTATTAAGATAATTATTAGAATGACCTTAAATCAAGTACGTAGAAGTCATTGCATGTTCGTGCAGTCAAGAATAAACTTCTGATATTTCAATTCAAAGAAATACATAAGCCGCGGTATTAGTGCGCCGGCAGAAAGCCGCAGGAAATATAAGTTAAACATAATGCGGATCAAATAAGCGTCTGGTTGAACTTATCTTACAGCTCGAGATATTTTTAAACTAGAAATCTACAAAATTTTCTTTGTACATTTTTGAAAATAAAAATAAATAATGAATAAATTAATGAATAAATATATTAATTAATTGATTAATAATAATAATAATAATAATAATAATAATAATAATAAAAAAAAAATAATAATAATAATAATGATAATAATAATAATAATAATAATAATAATAATAATAATAATAATAATAATAATAATAATAAAAATAATAATAATAATAATAATAATAATAATAATAATAATAATAAAATAATAATAATAATAATAATGATAATAATGATAATAATAATAATAATAATAATAATAATAATAATTATAATAATAATAATAATAATGATGATGATAATAATAATAAAATCTAAAATGGAAACCAAAAAAAACCACCAGCGATATATCAGTGTTACTAGGGTTGCGCGATTGAAATTCATTTGGAACAAGCATATTCACTGTACACAAAGGAAATCACTTGATTATTTGATAAAGACCAATGTGCAAGATTTATTTCCTTCCTATCACTGTATCATTCAATGCAAATCTAAGCAATTCAATACGTATGAAAACTCCTATTTTCTTCCGCTCACTATCATTTGTTTTGAGATGCATTTATGCACAGTGATATTTAACAAAGATTAATAAGGTGAGAAATGTTTTTTTACATTTTAATGGAAAACCAAAATATCGTTGCCTAATATAAACGAACAAATTGCCTAAAGGTGTAAAATGAACAAATATCATCTAATGTGTTTTCGTGCCTAGTCCTTTTTTTAATTAGTGAAATGGATTTTCCCTGTTGTGAATTCGGACGAATTGATTGAAGATATATCGCATTTTTAAATGAAAGTAAAACAAAAAGAGCTACCATCAGTAAAGGGCCTGACTTTTGGTTGAAAAAGGTTAAAGTCGTAATTATATTTTGGACTCTATTGTTAGATTTTTATCATTATTGTCATAGATAAATATTTTTTTCGGTTGTATTGTTTCACTGATACAGTGGCAGGCTATTCCTTCCTCGTTAAACGCGGCAAGATTATTGTAAGGGATGTTTTTGTTGAGATGCCATGTGTAGATAATCGGTTAAAATTGATATCAGACCCATCTAATGTGAGCTGTAATGTGTGTGAGCTGAAAAAGCAGGTAAGGTCTACCGAGACGTGAGCTGGTAAAAGATGTAATGTCACGGGTTGACAATACGGATGAGCAAATAGTTCGTTTTTGGTATTTTTAAACACAAAATCAAATGGGAAATAATAGAATAAACATCCCCAACTATGCTGAAGAAAAAATGTTTTTTAGCTGACTTTAAAACGTACCCAGTCTCATTGCATTCTGATAATATATTTTACTCAAAAGGCACTGAACTTTGATATTTACCTGAAGCAGTTTTCATTCTGTTAAAATTGTAGTAATATATGATAACTATTTAGCGTCCCCAAAACATTTCTATACCAGTAAAACGATCATTGAACTTTAATGCCCACTGAAGATTTGATGTTTTTTTCAGTACTGGTACCTACTACTTATGTATATAACAACCCGAGCAGGCGTTATTACTAGTATTCATGCAACGTGAGTTATGTTTTGTACCGTTTGTTTTGTTATTTTCATACATTCTTGTCTTGAAAATAATTGCTCACAGCATCTAGTGTATGAACATCTGGCACGGGTTGATGGATAGAAAATATCTCGTAAAATCTCGGAAAATCTCGTATACTAAGCATGTAAAGATGCATCACCAGTTTTCATTATGCTAATCAGTTTTGCCTTTATGTAAAATACGGCTCAAACGAGGAACCTGCGTCTTTAAGCGTATTGATTTATGACAGAAAATTTGTATTTGCACTTGATCTGAAAAACTAATTTTCCATGAAGTCATGGTGAACGAGTTGTGAGTTGAGGTTCAATTGATTTGAGGAAAAAGTAAACGTGCTGCACGGTAATGTTTATGAGAATCTTAAAATTTAAAAGAAAATTAAGATGTGAACCATGATCGGAATGGTATCACTAAACCTGTTGTATTTATGTTAAAGCAACCCATTAGCAGTATTTGAAATACAAAAGCATTATGTGGTAACGTAACTATTCGGTCCTTTCCGTCAAACATCGGAGAATGACATGACACTACGGAAATGCAGATTTGACAGGGTCTATACTGATACATGTATCAAAGGCAAGTCTTACCCCTGCATTCAAAAGGCTAAAAGAGTTTGAAAAAATACAATAATTAAATAATGAAATTAATACAAATAATAAAAAACGGACAGCAAACATTTAGCCCATAGAGAAATGGAGTTATCATACTAGGAAAACATTTTTCTTCTTAAGTCTATAGATGTGTTTTAAGTTTTACAAAACATGATTTTGAATATTTTAAAATAAAACTTATTTAAAATGTTTTTATTATTAATAGAAATTATATTAATGTTTAATATCTGGGGCCTAGATTTTTAGTGAATAATTCCCTTCAACTGGCCTTAATAGCTTTGTCTTTTATTACATATATTGTTCAGCAGTTAGACAATACTACGACCAGCATCACCGCTCTGTGAAATTAATATCCAGTAAAACTTCTGGTGAACTAATTAAAGAGAATAGTTTTGTGATGTTAACAAACAAAACATGTGTGACCTCACATAATTCAGGTGAGAGGAAGACTTCTTTAACAGATGTGAACCAGCTTTGTTGACGACGTGTGCAGAGCAGAGAATATATACAGAATGAAAATAAAGTCAAGTTATTAAGGAGAACTAATACGGTGTTCCTTAAGGACCATCGTTGTTTTGACGTTGGTTAAAACGTTCTGGTTAAAACGTTCTGGTTGTTCAGTAGAAAGGGATGCATGGGCAATATACACTTTAAAGATATTTATTTCCCCCAGAACTGAAGAGTAGGAACAAATAAACAAGAGTTGTATATTTGCAAGATCAGAAAACTACATAAAAAATTGTCGTCCTTGCAGACTTTTTGCCCTTCCTTGTGGACTAGACCGAAACTGCGGAACAACCTTGACCCTACCGAACACGTATAAAATCGTCCTCTTAATAGATTTCCTTTACTTTCGTATATTCTGAGACATGTACATGAACTACATTACTAGCACCATTTTTTTCTATTTTCATTTCTCAAAAAAAAAGCAAACAATAAAGCTAAAAGTCTTCCGAATATTTTAGTTATTACAACAAAAAACATATGGCCCCTCATTACAACCAACTTTTTCTTGTTAACCGTCGCCTTGTCTTTGAGCCGAGAAATACGAGATACTACAGACTACAATTTCTAGACATTAAAACTGCTGGAACCATTTTCCCATCGATTTAGAAATTACTTTCATTTAATCTGCCTCAACTAGTGGAAAAATTATATGGTATGGAAAAAGGAGAAATCGGTGAAATCAACGTATTGAGTTAGCTAAATTGTTTGATAAATAGTTATTTTTCTGGAGAAATTGCTTAAGTTTCTTAGCTTACATGACATTCGTTGAAACTTTGTAGATATCCTATAGAAAGGATCGGCCTTCAAAGATGAAATATACAAACTTGCTGGTTAAGTACATTGAACAATTATTGTAATATTGTTTGCTGAAGACAAAGTGACAGAAAGATTAAAATCTTGTATCTGCGTCATATATTCCCATTTTTAAGTATTACGGACTTTAATGACCATGTTTTTCTTTTTTCAAATTATGACGTCCCTGTGGACCTTGAGTCGATAGTATATAAGTGTAGCTCTTAACGGATGTATGGTGCTTAAATCTTCACTTTCTCGCGACTTTATAATAGGTTGTTGCTAAGCAGGACAAGTCCATTGTTTAAAGTGTATAAAGCCATATACATGTATCTGCTTTAAAAATTATTGTTTGAATTTCTAAATAGAATGCTCCCAAAAGGTTTGTATGGAATAAATATGGCAGTAAATTGCCTTAAAAGTGAATTTCACATGCACTCAAATCATTGTCTCTCCTAAGGATAGCAGAATAACTCTTATGAGAATGGACCATAACATAAATGAATGTTACTGTTGATAAATTTTATCAAAATAGTTGGTAAGATATAGCTTTATACCTTTAAAGGTTTTAATTCTATTACTATTTGTTAGTACACACAGTCCCACATTGTTGCAGCACAAAGTCATATTACAGGATTTTCGTATCAACGAAAAATTATTAGACGGTTATTTAATGAAGTAAGATATATGAAAAACCTATCTAAGAAACTCACCGTGAACTATGCGCGTGATATTTTTGCCTTTAAGGTCACTTGTGTAAATCCCTCGATTTGATGTCTCAAAACTGATGTCCGACCAGAATAATTTATTTTTGGCAACGTCAGTGGCTAGACCTACAATTCTATAGTCTCTCTGAAATGTAAAAATATGAGCCGCGTCACGACGAAACCAACATAATGGGTTTGCGACCAGCATGGATCCAGACCAGCCTGCGCATCCGCGCAGTCTGATCAGGATCAATGCTGTTCGCTTACAAACCCTATTACAAGTAGAGAAACTGAAAGCGAACAGCATGGATCCTGATCAGACTGCGCGGATGCGCAGGCTGGTCTGGATCCATGCTGGTCGCAAACCCATTATGTTGGTTTTGTCGTGATGCGGCTCAATTATGAAAAGTTGTTATAAATCATAACATATAAGGAACATTTGGCATTTAAAGCAATATATAATGCTAATGTTCATGACAATCTCAAAGTTCCTTATCCTTATCATAACAAAAATAGTACCAACTGTACAAGTAAAGTGAATTTTGCCTAGCCAAAAAACTTAGTGTTTTAACATAAACATTGCATACAACATGTAAAAGTAGACATGAAGAGCCTGCACTTCGTTCGTTAGTAATAGGGATATGGTTGAAAAAAAAGCATGCAAACTTTCAAAATGATTGTGAAATAGTAAAATATACATTTTGAACAAAATAGTTATCTGCTATTTCTTTAGTTTTATTTTTTTCCGTCTTGAGGAGTGTTATTGAAGAGAAGAAGGAAAAGAAAAAGAAGATGAAGGAGTACAAGAAGAAGAAGAAAATCAACAGGTGCGCATTTTGTTTACATAAACAACACGAAATATTGTCAACCATTCCTCTCAAAAGTCAGACATATTTTCTTCCCTGAAAATTAATAGCTTTTACTTAATATTATCTTTCTAACAGTCTTGGTTTGACATTAAGAAAATGTCAACCTTCAATATTCAACGTCAATAATATTAAAGTACAGTTAATAAGTAAGGATATTGACACGTTATTGACCTTGGTAAACAGAAAATTCAAGGCATTTCTTCGAATTACTTTATGATCCCTATGGTGGCTGATCTACGCCATGTTTTGATTTCGTTTTTTCTCGACGAAAATGCGAAAACTCAAAGATATGAATTATGACGTAAAGCGAACTTAGTGTCGTATTGACGCTCTTTCTGTTTTAGTCTTAGAAAATGTCGCATCTTTGTGGGTTTTCTTTTACATTTTCGCTTTTGTACGACATGGCGTAAATCAGCCACCATAGTTATCAGATTTTCAACTAACAAATCAATAAGAGACAAATGTAATTCTTATTCAAAGTGTTAAAATATGTGGATTGTAAGAGGGATGCTGTTGTTGGTGTTTACAGTTCAATTGTCGACAGCATTCCCACCAAGTCAACATCATCCCAACTCGTTTAGTACTAATTGTCGACAGCATCCTCACCCATATAGTACTGATTGTCGACAGCATCCTCACCCATAAAGTACTAATTGTCGACAGCATCCTCACCCATATAGTACTGATTGTCGACAGCATCCTCACCCATAAAGTACTAATTTTCGACAGCATCCTCACCCATATAGTACTGATTGTCGACAGCATCCTCACCCATATAGTACTGATTGTCGACAGCATCCTCACCCATATAGTACTGATTGTCGACAGCATCCTCACCCATAAAGTACTAATTTTCGACAGCATCCTCACCCATATAGTACTGATTGTCGACAGCATCCTCACCCATATAGTACTGATTGTCGACAGCATCCTCACCCATAAAGTACTAATTTTCGACAGCATCCTCACCCATATAGTACTGATTGTCGACAGCATCCTCACCCATATAGTACTGATTGTCGACAGCATCCTCACCCATATAGTACTAATTGTCGACAGCATCCTCACCCATATAGTACTGATTGTCGACAGCATCCTCACCCATATAGTACTAATTGTCGACAGCATCCTCACCCATAAAGTACTGATTGTCGACAGCATCCTCACCCATATAGTACTGATTGTCGACAGCATCCTCACCCATATAGTACTGATTGTCGACAGCATCCTCACCCATATAGTACTGATTTTCGACAACATTCTCATCCATATAGTACTAATTTTCGACAGCATCCTCACCCGTTCAGTACAAAGTCGTACGAGTAGATTACCAGGGTAAACATAATGCATTTTATTTCTTTGTTGAAATCATAAGTATTTTAGCAATTTAGTAAAGCATACCTCAACACGTGGAAATCGTGCTGTTTAGGCAATTTTTCTTGTTTTAATATTAATTCATATTAGATTATTAAAAC